CTGGCCTGCGCCCCCTAGTGGACTCTGGATGGCGCCCGCGCTCCGCCCCCACCCCGGCCGCGGGCGAAAAGCTCGCAGGAGCCGAGGACTCCGGGCCTGGACTGCGGGGCTGTTCCCGAAAGCCGGGAGGACCGCATCCAGGGAGGGCTCAGCGCCCCAAGACTTGACGCGGACCTTCACACTGCTGGAGGTGGGGAGGACCTCTGGACAGATGGGTGTCCCTTGGCACCCCACCGCTCTTTCTTTTTTGGGGGGAAGAAACCCCAGAATTTCTATGAGAACCCCCGGGAAGGGGTCAGTTGGGCCCCCATCCCTCCCCCTGCCACATCTCAGTCCCTGTTGGAATAAAAAAAGAACAAAACCCCAAAACTGGGGATACTGGGTCTCGTTTCCTGGGGCGGGGGCGGAGGAGCCTTAGAGGCCTGGGCCCCTTCCTGCCGTCTAGAGCCGCAACCTAACGCTCACGCCTCTCCGCCCGGGCGCTGCATGAAGCTGTCAGCCCAACTCCCGGCCGCTGCCCCCTCCACTGACCTCCCAGGACAGGGAGGCTGCGACAGAGACCCTGAGACAGATGGAGAGGTGCAAGGATCCCGAGAGGCGGAGACAGCTCGAAGCCAGATGGGGTCGGGGGAGGGGAGAGCCGGTGAGCGTGCGCGTGCCGGGGCCAAAGTGATTCGGCGACTTTGTGATCCTGAGCGAGTGTTCTCGGCCGTGAGCCCATCTCCAGTGCCGGTGACCCCGTGTTTCCGCTAAATATGGGCCTCCCCGGACCCCAAGGGGGCAAGTGGGGAAGCCCGGTGGAGCCGGGGAGGCCGGAGGGCTGGTTAAACAGGGAGAAGAAGTGTGGGTCTGCCTCCCGTCCCCGCCCGCCCGCCGCCCCGCTGTGGAAACTGCAGCTGAGCAAGGGCGAGTGAAGGTCAAACAGCGAGACCCAGAATGAGGCCGAGCAGAAAGAAGAGATACGAGGGTTGGGGAAAGAGAACGACAAGGGGGTCGGGTAGGGGAGAGGCAGGCATGGGTTACAGAAGGAGAGAGACAAGGAGGGAGGTGAGGAGTGGGAGGGACAGGGATGGCAGAGAGATGGGGCGAGAGAAGACTGAAGAAGGGGCGCGGAACGAGGCCAAGGGAGAGCGAGCGGGGAGCTGCGGGCCCCAGAGAGCTGGGAAAGGGGCCCGCCTCTGCAGCCGCGGCGGAGCCCGGGAGCTGTCCGTTCAGCACCCGCCCGCCCGCCTGGCGCACAGCGGCCTGTGCTCTCGATACTGGGGCCTGCCCGCTTTCCACAGGCAGGCGGGCTACAGCCCGAGACCCCCTCCCGACACTGCACCCCCAGCCTGGGCCGCTTTGCAGTGTCCCCACCTTGCCCCCTCTGTGTCGCAGACTCTTGCTGTGTTTGTGTCCTTGGGGGATAACCCCAGCATCTCTGTTGTCTCCACAGCGCTTAACAGTGCCTCTCTGCCCTTGCGCTCGACTCTGAGGTGACTAAAATGTGACTGCAGACATTTCTGGTGACTCCTCTCTTTGTCCTGATATCATCAGGCCGATCTCTGGGGCCGTCCCATTTCTGAGCCATCTTCCACTACCAAGTTTCTGCTCAAAATCTCTCTCCGCCTTTATCCCGTTTCCCTCCCCTGTTTGCCAAACCTGTCTTTGCTTGGCCTTCTAAGTCTCAGTGTCTTTCTGTCACCTTCACCGAGTACTTCTTGCTGTCTCCCTGTTTTCTCGTCTTCTCTCTCTCTCTCTCTCTCTCTCTCTCTCTCTCTCTCATGTCCCCTCTTGTGTCTCTCTTTCCACATCTCCCGCGTCTCTCTCCATCCCTGTGACCTTCCTTCCTATGTCTCCCCTCCCCCTGCTTCTGCAGAGCCTTGTGCTGGGAGCCCGCTGCACAGTCATCAGTTCAGCCGGGCTCATGTCTCTCAGGAGGGAGAACATGAGGGGGCCTAGGCCTGTGTCTGAGGTGGGACGTAAGGGCCCCATCCTCCCCCAGCCCAGCTGGAGAGCAGGACGAGAGCCTTCATCTCCTGGGACCCAGATTTCTCCCACCTCCCCAGACTCTGTCTGCCCAGTCCCATCCTCCACAGTCCAGGCCCAGACCTCCAGGGCAAGGTGTCTGAGAGGGAAAGGATGAATCTTGATGAGCTCTCTTCCCAGAGAAGCGGCCAGAGTTGGGGAGGGGGGGTCCTGAGGTGATGTACCTGGATTAAAAGATGTGGCTCCTCCTCCTTTCCTAGTCTCCATGACAACAGCCTGCCCTGCAGACCCAGCCTCCTTTGCTGCAGAGTCAGCCTCCCTGTTACCATGGCAACAAGGGACAGCGGGAGGGATGAGGACAGGTCAGAGAACAGGATTGGGAAGAGGCACAGTGTGCTGGGGGAAACCTCCCCACCTCCTTCCACCCTGGGCTGACTCTCTGTCCAGGGCCATCTCGCTGTGGTTCGGACTTTGTCTCTCCATCTCTGTGCCTCTCATGCTGGCCTCCAACCTCTCTCCCACATATTTCCCTGGCTAGGTCCTTAGTTTTTAATTTGACACTCCCACACACACCAAGCTCACTCCCGTCCCTTTCTTGTGTCCCGCATGTCTCTACTCCCATATATGGGAAGGATACCCCATTCCAAGAAATCCACAAGGTTAGGCATTTCCCCCACTCTACCTTCTATCATCCCAGGGAGAATCTGGGGTGCTCCTCATGAAGCTGGAGGTTGGGTGGTGTCTGGGTGAGGATGGGAGGCCCTGACTCCTCAGGCTCCTGTAGGGTGGCTGGTGGTGTTTGGGCATCATATATGTGTGCAGGCCTGGGGTGTGGCTGCCAGCTGTGCAACTGTTTGTGTGTGCATGCACTTACTGTGATGGGAGTGTGGCGTGTGGGTGGGGGAGTTGTGTTTGGAAGTGCAACAAAGGTATACGTGAGAGTGCTGAAATATGTGATATGTGAGGTGTGTGGGATGGTGTCGTGTGACTTATTTCTGTGAATTGCGTGTGTGTGTGTGTGCACCCTTTTGGCTGTCATTCACAGCAACAATTGAACAGTTTTTTGTACTTGCTTTTGTTTTTTGATTTGGAAGTTTCGCACTGTGACCTTTTGCTCGTGCCCAGATACACTGGGGAGCGGTGTGTGTGGTTGTGTGATCACACAGTAGTGTCCACAAAAGCTCTTGTGGTGTGTCTGGAAACTGTGATGCCGGTGCATGTGTGATGGTGCTGAGGGAAGCTGTGTGTGGATTCAAGGGTGGCACAGTGTGGTCTTCATGAGATGGTGCAAAGTCAGGCGAGGTGGGAGTGTGATGCATGAGTCTGCAATGTAGCGTTCTAAGGGTGTGTGACAGTGACTGCGATTCTCTTATGATGTGGTGAGTGAGCAAAGTGTGTGCTCTACGTGTGCTGCCTGTGTTTGTGAGCCTCTGGTTGTGTGACGGATGGTGTGTGTGTGTGAGGGTCTGGCTGACGTGCGGTGGAATGTGGTTGTGGCCCTGTGGTGGTGGATGTGGGGGCCATGGTGATGCATAACTACGGTGGTGCTGGGCATTTCCAGGGCCTCCTGGTGTGGTCTGGCTATGTTGTCTCCTGCGTGCTCTGTGCGGTTGTGTCTCATTGGATATAGCTCAGTCTTGGAGGTGGGGGTGGACACACAGTGAGGGGGGTCTCAAGGCCCATCTCTACATCACCCCTCCTCAGTCTGGGGGTCTTCCTTGCTCTCTTGTGCTCCCCAACTTCCCCTTAGGGTGGACTCAGATGCGGGCTCTGGAGCTGGGGACCTCTATTCCTGAACAGCACCCCACACAGACTCCAGCTCCTCCCGCGCCCTCCACACTGCAGAGAGCGGTGCTGTGGAGCCCCTGCCTCATTACTGCGGTTCACTGGGGCTTTCTCCCACCCAGTTTCCGACCCTCTCAGTGTGACCCTCTCCCTGCAGCACACCCCGCAATGAGGGGATTTCCGGATTATTTCCTCTTTCAACGACCCCTCCTCAGAGACCCCAGGGGGATCTCCAGGTTCCCCGCTGCTGGGGGGGTCCCCGGTATCCCCGACACCCCAGTCCCCCCAAGCGCTCCTCCCTCTCAGTGGCGCTGCCACTTTGCAGAGACAGGGTGGTGAGGGGGGAGGACAGCTGCAGTACCGGGGGCG